TATGTATACTCTTCCCTTATCAATCATCCCCATTACCGTACCCTTGTTTACCTGGCGGAACTCGGAGCGAGCCTAAAGCCGTGACCCCGCGGGCGTTCCCCCCTTTCGAGGTCATTTTGGGGCTTCGAAATTTGGTTCTGCGCCTGGGTGAGAGAGAGAGAGAGAGAGAGAGAGATCGTTGTGCGTGGGTGAAATGGCAGAAAGGTGGTGGCTACGCCAATCTGCCCGTTCCATCTCAGCCTCTTCCCCCACCCATCGAAATGGCCTTCAAACAGAACGATTGAGGCCAGCCGGCCGCTGGGTGGGAGAACAAGTCAGCCTAGATTTACAAGTAGGCAAATTCTGCATGGCTTTCGAGGCTTTTCGGGCGTTTTTAAAGGGACGGACAAGGCTGACGAGTATTGCTTCAAAACTTACAACGAATGGGCCTATCGATTTTACGGCGACCGCGACACGCGATGCGCCCGCTCTGCGTTCTTTTAAAGGTATACGCAAGGCAGGTTTTAGGACTTGTTTGTTACCCACATTTTACCGCCCCGCGACACGCGCGGCACCTTCCGGTCTTTCCATTGAGTAAGGGAGCCCTTTCACCGCGGACAAACCGCGGGTGCGTTGCGTGTCGCGGCTATCCCTGCCTTCTGCTCCTTTTAGAAAGGACGTCTTACGCGAAAATACGGTACCAATCTCCTAAAGTGTCGATCCTACGCTGCAAAAAATTGCCTCCAAAACAAAAGGGACGATTCCCCACGACTTTTCTTAAAACCGCGACACGCGACGTGCTTGGAGTTGCGGAGGCGTATAGGAGGAGGTATAGGTATCCATTACGACATAAAAATCCGCCTGCACGATATCCCCCTGCCCGGCCCTTTAAACCTCAGGAAACGCACGTAGCCGACGCGTTGTACGCACGGAAACCAATTACACCCCGCCCTCGTGGACGTCTGGACCACAAAAAATCCCTAAAAACTGCATAGCGCCCTACGCGCGGCCTTGGGCCCTCCGGCATCGAGAAGATCCATTCACGAAAGCAAGGGCCACTTTTTGCGCCCCACCCGGCCACCGGCTACAGTATCCCCCGGGCGGGGATGGCCAGCCGGGCACCATCTGCGCCCCCGCGTCCCATTCTGGCTTCGGCGCGCCGGCTGTCTGTTTGTTTGGGCGACAGTTTGACTGTCTATCCGTGTGTCTGTCTGTCTTTCTCTCTCTCTCTCTCTCTCTTGCTCACTCTGGTGCTCGGTTTGCGTGTGAATCCAATTTTCCAGGCTCGGCATCCCGCGTTTCTTTGCAAGTTTTCGAAAATTGCATCGCCCAAAAATCATTTTTCGAACGGAATTTCAGATTTTCGACAATCGAAAGCCCTCTCGAATTTTCAAAAACCATTCGCCCATTTGTCGAAATATTTCTCAAGTGCTACGGTATGGAAAAATACCGTAGTATCGAAAACGAAAATTTCGTCATAGAAAATCGCCAGTTAAAAAAAAAAGTGGTCTCCCAATTAGCATCCAAAATTTATCGGGAATTTGGCTCTCGGGATTTTTACTGTCGGCATTATTGCCGCCGGGACTTTGGCCTATCTGAATTTTGACTATCGAGGTTTCCGTTGTCAATATTTTAGCTGTCCCAATTTCAACTCGACCTCTCAAACGCTCTCTGCTAGCTTCCTCCGGGCCCTGAACTTCTCCTAGCTCTCAACAACGCTCATATTTCAAGGCCAAGAACGGCAGCAGCCCCCTAGTTAAATGCTGCCCGTCAGCCAATCCGCGGCGCCATTTTATGGGCCGGTGGTGGCGGGGTGAACGAGTGCTTTTTAGGAAATAAGGCGGCTAGGGCTGCCAGGGGGGAGATTTCCTAGTGCCGTGGAATTCTTAAAAATACTCTGCTAGCTTACCTGCTTGATTTTGGGTCGGCGATGAATGAGAGGAAACAATCTTTGCTAGCTTGCCTACATTTCTCTAGTCTAGACCTTTAAAGGGACCGGTAAGGCATCGATTACAACACCTTAACTTAGGCTTAAGCTTGACTTAGACTTAGGATTAAGTTTAGCGTAGGCTTCGGCTTAGCTTAGGCTTATGCTTAGGCTTATACGTAAACGTAAACTTCCCTACAATCCCAAGCTCCGAGGTGTTCTAATGGATTCTCGCGGAATCGCGTCTCCAGGGACTGACGCTTCGCGACGGGACCCACCACCACCACCTGCCCCTCTTTTTCCAAAATTTCTCGAAATTCACCTAGGCATTATCCGGGGACGATTTATGGCCATACGGGGGCAGCTGCCCCCTCCCAAACGAAATCCCAATTTTCCGCCGATTCGCCCCGGGACCCGGGCCCATTTCTAAATTGTGCCCCTCGCTACCGTACTCCCCTATGTTCCTTGATCGGATCCGCCAAAAAGACGAGCCGAAAGCGTACGTTCAGGCTGTTTCGAATCGTCATTTTTGGTGATTCCGCGATGGGGTTTTCTATGAAGGAATTTTTCTATGGATTTGACTTCATTAGGCCTTTAAAGGGACGAGCAAGGCATGGCTACGAGTTTTTATGGATCTTGCTGCAAATTCCCAGATTTGTGGGGCAATCCATGAAATGGAATAAACTAAGATAATCTGCATCGAAAGCGCATGATAAGAGTGTCGAAAGGCGTCTAGCGTAAGCGACTTCTGACGACGCGATGCGCCTATGGACGCGTCTGCCCTGTGGTTTATGCGAATTACATGGCGTAATCTGAAGAAAGGATGTGAAAAGTATTTTTCTGGGGAGAAAATGCATTCCTAGATTGATTTTTGAAGTTTGTAGGTCCAATTTGTCGAAAACTTATAAGGAGTCGTTTTTAGGTGATATTGGAGTTTCTGAACGAGACTAGCTAGTTCGATAGAGAAAAAAATTCTGAACAAGATGTCGTTTTCCAAATCTGCTAACCGTGTACGCTGTTTAATAAAAATTAATTTGAAAATCATTAATCTAACCATCATTTTCCGCCTGATCCACAGATTCTGCGGCCTGGGTGCGCGTCAACATAGCCCCCTTTCGGCCTCCCTCCAGCCATGGCCAGCTGGCCTATTGGTAGTGCGCTTGCTTCGTAAGTTTTTGTCTTTTTTTTTGTCAGCGGGTTCGACTCCTCGCTAGTAAAACTCTTTTGCTTTTTTGCTCGATAATGCCATATTCGATTTCCATGGTATGAAAACCAAAAAGCAAAACAATAAATCACAATAAGTTCCGAACCCTGGGCATAATTTTGCAAAAGTTTGATAGGCGCCGGCACTAGCCACTTGGCCACGATCTCATGCGATGCTGGTTCGCGCTGTGGGCTATCTACCGGGCCTGATCCACGGGTCGAAGCCTGACGTCCAGGAATTGTTTCATTAAAATTAATTTTTATTGAATACAGTACACGGTTAGCAGATTTGGAAACCGACATCTTGTTCAGAATTTTTTTCTATCGAATCAGCTAGGTCTCGTTCAAACACTCCAATATCACCCAAAAACGACTCCTTGTTAGCTTGACAAAGTTCTAATCCAACGCTAAGCCAAGCCTAAGCCTAACCTAAGCCTAACCTAGGCCAAGCCTAAGCTTAAACCCAAGCCTCAGCCTAAGCAAAACCTTAGCACAGTACCCAGCTCTGAATACCTAAAAACAAGCTGAATCAAGGGCCATCCGACCCGGCCGCTGCCCTTTTGGCCAGCACGTTTTTTGGCACGTAGCTCCGCGCGGGGAGGATGACCGCTAGCGCGCTTTTTGTGAGTCAGGGAGACGCAGGCCGATGGATGGATGGGGCACATGTTCATGTATTATTCAAAAAGCCCTTCCCCCTCTGTGGCCCCCATCCGGTCATCCAGGCTTTTTGCCAGCCCCCGCTGCTGCCCCGTCGGCGATGAATTTGCATACCGGCGTCTGCTGGTCTGGAGGGGGTGATAGAAAAGAGGAATGCTTATGGGAAAATTGGCTTCTGATTGGCCCAGATATTGATTGTCGGGATTTTAAGTGTCGACATTTTCAGCCGGATCTCGCCTTGCGTGGCTTTTTGATGTCGGCAGTTTGGCGCTAGGTATTTGCCGGTATTTTGGGTTTCGGTGTTTTAACCAACATGATTATGGTCGCCATGGTCATCAAGACCAGAATTTTCGGAGACTAGACGAGGAAATAGACCGAAATCCCGACAAAAAATGCCGACATCATAATCACGACATCCATATCCCGACAGCCAAAATCCCGACATGCAAAATAGCTTCCGACAACGCAGGCGAATTCAAGTTGGCGTCAAAGATTTGTCGGGATCTGGGATGTCGGGATTATGGTTTGTCGCCACTTCGTTTGTCGAGGTACCGGCCTGTCGGGATATTGGCTGTGGGGATTTCGTGATCAGGATTTTAGTCTGTCGGTGTTTTGCTCTGTTGATCTGTTGGTCTGTCGAGATTCCTATCTGTCAGTATTTTTTCTGTCGGCATTTCGGTTTTCGGGATTTTGGCTTTCGGAATTTTGGTCCGTCGAATTTCGCCTATCCGAGTTTTGATCTGCAGAATTTTGGCGTGTCGGTATCTTGTCCTGTCGGTATTTTGCTTTGTCGAGATTACGGGCCTGTCAGGATGTTGATCTGTCGGGATATTAGTCTGTCGGCATTTTGCCCCGTCGGCATTACGGCCTATCAGAACTTGATCCGTCGAGATTTCAGGTTTCGGATTTTGGTCTGTCGGTCTTTTGCCCAGTCGGGATTAATGTCTGTAGGACGTTGAGCTTCCGATTTTACTCTGTCGGCATTTTAGGTTTCGGGATTTTGGTCGGCCGGATTGTGGCTTGTCGAGACTTCGGTCTGTCGTATTTTTGCCTTGTCGGATGGTCTGTCGGAATTTTGGCATCTCGGGATTTTAGCTGTCGGTATTTTGGCTGTCGTCCTGAAAGTCTCAGCACCTTTTATGAAATTCCGGGAGCAGTGCAGCGGTTCCTTTGAATATCACCGCGTTGGTGTGGATGGCTTTGAGTCTTCTCGGCGGGTGGTGGATATGTGGGAATGGATTTGTCGTCCCGCGTCCGTGACGAGAAGAAGAAGAAGCTGAAGAAGGAGAAGGAGGGCACTGACTCGACTCCACAATTCGGACCTTTCATCCCCACGCGGTAACACCATTTCCGGGATCTTCGAGCCGGTGCCGGGGATTTTGGCTATTTTCAGGCTCAGGCGCTAGCCGAAAGGAGCCACATTCTCAACCTCGGCAAGGAGGTTGCCTCCACATTTCTTGGTGCTTGTTTGTTATGCAAATTTGATAAATTTGTCGGTATATTAATAAACATAAAGTTTCATTTATAAAAATTGAATGTAACAGCCATAAATAAATATATAACGCATCGATTTATGCAATTTAGATAAAAATAAAAATAGGTATTTACTAGACCCAAAGCTGGAAAAATCATTGCCCTCGCAGGGGGAAGAGGCCTCATTTCCGCTTCTGAGCGCCTTTCCCCTGCAGGATATGGCTATGATATCCGGTGCGGCGGTGTGGTTATTTCCATCCGGCGCCTCCGCTTTTATAAGTCACAACCATCTTACCGTAGCCTAGCTTTGGTGAACATTGATTGATTTACTTCTTCAGCGAAGCTAAGCCGAAATTGAAGCCGAGCCTGAACCTAAGCCCGCTAGGCGTACGTCGAAGCCTAAGCTTAAGCCTATGTCTGCTACGCTAAGCCTAAGACTACATAGGCGAAGCTTGAAGCTTAAACCTAAGCCCAAGCCTAAGTCGCAGCCTAAGCCTAAGCCTAAATCGAAACCTAAGCCTAAACCTAAGCCTGAACCTAACTGAGCCTTAGCCTAACCTAAGCCAAGCTAGACGTAAGTCGAAGCCTAGCCTAAGCCTGCTAAGCCTAAGCCTAAGCCTAAGCCGAAGCCTAAACCTAAGCCTAAGCCAAAGCCGAAGCCCCGCTGTTGAGCGCAAATTTTGAGCCCCAACTGGATGCCCCTCGTCCTTTAGCGGCCCTAAAGCATAAAAAGTGGTGGTCTCTGTAAATGACATATGCCTTTGTCTTTTCGAGATTTGTGAACGAGCCTCTGCCCCCCACCCGACGGCTCCAAACGAGCCCATCATCCCTCCGCATATAGCCACGCCAAAAACCCTGCTCTGCTGCCTTCCGGTATAGCCGAACGCAAAAGCCTCACGTGCATTTGTGCGTCGTATTTTTGTCTTTTTTTTCTAGACTAAATTGGGTATCCGGTTGCGATCAGAAGCTGAAAAATCCCTGTCGCTCTCCGCCTCTTTCTCTCGCTGTCACAGACTCGCTCACGTTCGCGCATTCTCTCGCTCTCTATATCTCTGGCTGTTTCTCTCTCTCTCTCTCCCTCTTGCTCTCTCTCTCTGTTTTCTGTCTGTCTCTCTCTCTATTTCTCTCACCCTCTGGCTCTCTATCCTTCTGTCCGTCTTTCTCTCTCTCGCTCTCCGCTTTCTCTCTGTCTCATTCGATTTAGTGACCTTAAAGCATCAAGAGATCGTGACAACGTAATACACCTCGGCTTATCCCGATTAGCCTTTTGTTTTGGGCACCGGATTAGTTTGGAGCTCGAGCTCAAAATTTTGGCAGATTCCTTCTTCCACAATCAAAAACATTTTTTTCCATTTTCCGCTTGATCCCGGCGGAACCCCCGCCCCCCCCGGGAAAAAGCGTCCCCTTGCCCCCCCTGCCTCGCTGTATATGATCGAATTATGTCTGTGAACTCTGAAGCAGCAGTCTATGCTGGCTGGGTCTCCTTCTCCACTCATTCCTCCTTTTCGTTGATGCTCCCCGCTACGTGGCCCCGCAGTCTATTACCTCAAGAGGCTCCTCCTCTTCCCCCCTGAGGGCTCTTATTTCCCCCATTTTTCAGCCTTCACCCATCCTTAGAAGACGTCCCCCCTCGGCCTCGATCCTTAGGTGTGTTCGCGCCCAAATTTTGAGCATCAGGGTTCACGCTCCGGTTTTTTTGATCGTCGTCAAAGGTCCCCAAGGATCCCTGCTAGTTTGCCCTGCGGAAAAAGGGGAATCACGACATCCAAACGACCGACACTCGAAAATACCGACAGCCAAAATCCCGACATGTCGAATAGCTGTTTAAACAAAGTGGCATTCAAAATAACGTCAGGAATGCGTCGAGATTTTGCTCTAGGCGATCGGGATTTTGATTGTCGGGATTCGGGCTGTCCGAATTTTTGCTGTCGGTATTTTGGACTGTCGGCATTTTGGTGCTTTAGGAATTTTGGCCGTGGGACTGATGGATTTCCTTATTTTGGTTGTCGGGATTTTTAGTGTCGGGATTATGGCTGTCGGCATTTCGACGGAATAATCCTCTGGCTGAGAATTTCTACTCTCGTGATTACGACATTTCGGAATGTTTGCTGTCGATATTTTGCGTTCGGAATTTTAGCTGTCTGGATTTTTGCCGATGATTTTGGCTGTCGAAATTTTGGCAAATGATCCATGCCAGTTCCTAGCCTCGCACATGTTCCCCCCCCCCCAACCCTGATCGATACATTAAAATGGATTTGAGGGCGTGTGGGTGTTGAGGGGGGGATAGCTCCTCCTCCACATAGCCCGGGAGGAGGAGGAATCGAATCACTCTGGCTTCTTATCACACAACAGGCTGGCGGGGGATACTTGACATAATATGAGAAGGCCACTGACGAGAGAGCTAGAAGACGTCAATGTGGAGAGAGAGATAGCGAGAGAGAGAGGTGAGAGAGAGAGAGAGAGAGGAGAGAGAGAGTGAGAGAGAGAAACTCCATGCGGCAACAGATGCCCCCACGGCCTTCTGGATGCCCAAGAAGATTCCCTTCAAACTTCCTCAAAGAGCACCTTCTCGTCCCTTTTTGAGCTTGTGCTTTGTTCGGGGAGTTGCACATCGAAGATTAGGCTTCATTTCCCAGCTTCCACTTGTTTCCGATTTTTTTGGGATCAAAAGGCCGTTCCTCTCGTCCTCATTAGGGCCAAATTTACGAAATTTACAAACGCAAAAAAGTTACAAATGTTGATTCAAAAAATTAAAAATATCAGAAATGTACAATTTTTCTGTTTTCTAGTTAGTTTTTGATTTGAAATAGGCCTAAATTTTGCTAAGAAAGCTTGTGAAGTTCTTGCTCTGGCCTTATTCAGCTAAAAAACATAAAGAAAAAATTAAAGATTTTGAATTACGAATTATAAATATGAAATATAGATATGAATAACTATTAAGAATTATGAATTCCGATTTTGTGAATTTTCGACATTTTTAAAGCAACCAGCTTTTTTGTGAATTTACGCAATGATAAGTACGCGCGTGGGCGGCTACTACGCGACACTACTTACGCCTACTCAATAAATTTTGCGTTCCCCATGAATCCGCCCGATCTCCGCTCGATTGCACGTCTTCTGCGCTTGACGTCGATCCCCCATCGTCGCTTCTAATTAAACGACATTTGAATAATTAATCGCCCTGGTAGAAGGCCGCCTCGCCGCCTTCGCACCTTTTTTGACGTGGCTGCGAAATTGAAAACTATCAATCTTTTGGGCGGACGGCGAGACCAAAATGAGCGCTTATAAGCGTTCCGCGCTGCGCGCGTCTCTTTCTTCCGGATTTCTTGTTTATACTAGATTAAATTGTTAGATTATCGTTTGGTTAATCATTTATTATGATTATAATAGGGCCATTTCCTTTTTCTCCGCCCCACACGCTTATAATCGTTAATTTGGGAAAAGAAACAAGTCATTATAGCCAAAATTCCGATAACGAAAATCTCGACATGCCTACATTCCCGACAATCAGAATCCCGACAAGCAAAATACCGACAATCCAGAATCACGACGGGCAAAATACCGACAACCGAAAATCCCGACTGCGAAAATCCTGACAGCCTGAATAACGACAGGTCCGAACCCCAGCCAAAATCCCGACAGGCAAAATACCGACAATCTAAAACCCGCCTGTCAAAATCCCGACAACCGAAAATCCGACAACTAAAATACCGACCCCTTTCACTTTCGGCCGAATTTTTCTTTTTTTTTTTTTGAACTTTTCGACAGTAGTTTTTCAAGCGTAGCATCGGCGGTCTGGATTGTGGCTTTTTTTTGCGCCCCCTGGGAGCCTTAATTTATATTAGCCCCCGATGGCCATCGCGAATTTTCGGGACACCCCGTGGAATCGTTAATTCACAAATGATGAATAATTCGGCTCATTGCCAGCGTCAAGCGTTCTTTCGCTATTTGTAGCGGGCGTGTTGCAAGTTTTGCAACTCCGCTTTTCATTCGGGACTGGACTCTTAGCGGGGGGGGTCTTTAACGGAAGAAACCAAATGTAAGGCTTAAAATATTTAAAATCCGAAAATTGGGTCGAAAGCCGGGTTTTTTTTGAAAAATCGGTATTTTTGTATTTTTTTTTCACTAAATTCCAGGGTAGCTGTCTTTCGAAATAGTAAAAAATAGCTTAAAGACATTTCTTCTTTTACATTAGAAAGTCGAAATATTAGAAAAAGTTAGGTTTTCCGCTGTTCACCGCCCCTGATAATGCCAAAGAACCAGGCCAATTTGGCTAAATTCCAGCTGGAGCCCAAATCCCGGGAGCTGATCCCTTGGCAGGGAAAAAAACAATGAATGCGTATTATTGGACGACCCGTCGACTAATCCGCTATGCATCGATGCCCCCCATAACTTTTCACGCTCTTACCTTTGGCCGCTACATGGTTTTGCAGCTTCTCCTTGGTCCTTCCGTTTCACCTCGTACTCCATTTCCAGAATGAGCAACGGCTCGTTCGAGCTCGAAGAGATGGCCGAGGAGGAGACGGGGACACAGCGCGGATGACGCTGAAGATGTTCTTCCTCATCTCGTATTTCATTTGTTTTGTCGTCGGCACCATCGGAAATAGGTTGGCCTCCTTGTTCTATTAAAAATATTTATTGAAAACCGCGACAGCCAAAATACGGAGAGTCAAAATTCCGATAGGCAAAATATCGACAACAAAAACCTGACATTCAAGATTCCGATGTCAAAATTCCGGGGAGAAAATCCCAGATTTTGGCTGCCAGGATTATGGTTGCCGGTGTTTTGGTCTGTCGGCATTTTGGCTGTCGAGCTCCTGGACGTCGGGATTCTCACGGTCGGTATTATGTCTGTCCGGCTTTTGCCTGTCGGTATTTTTCCTTCGCAAAAAGGCTCTTCAAAAACCTGCTTTTTCAGCTTGGTAATCGTGATGACGTGCAACGTGCTGACGTCTGTCCATCGAGGAGCATACCGCAGACGGCGCTCCATTTCGTCGACGAACCATGTTTTTATTTACGTTTTAGGTATTTTTAAGTTATTTTGTCTTCATGGGTAACTTTGAAGGGCTATCAATCGTTGACCTCTCGTCATTCTCCACCTCCCGCTGTTGATCGTCGAGATTGCCAAAGGTATTTTATCATTTTTAAGGGCTTTCAATTGACATATTTTATTAAATTTTTTGAGCTTTTGATTCTTGAAAAAAAATCCTTTTTAGGTGGCTGGCACTTTGGGCCGATCCTGTGCAAGCTGTACTGGTTCGGCGAGTCGGTGAATAAGCTGCTGTCCTCCTTCCTGATGACGGTCCTCTCCTGGGACCGTTACATGGCCGTTTGCTCGCCCGTCAAGTCGATGAGGTAGTTTTATACAAATCTGTGGAGTACTGGGTTGTTAACGGGGGGGAAGACGTTTTACGACGTTTATAAGAACATTATTGTTCCAAAAATGTCGTTTTTTGGTCAAAAACGATGCAGATGGTCAAAATTTCTAATTTTTAAATCGCTAAGAATGGTATTGTGACTTTTTAGTAAGCAAAGATACCATAAAACAAAATGTAGACAGGTACCCCCCGCTAAGAGCCCAGTACCTCATTTTTTCAGGATGCGCTCGTCGGGGATGGCGTTACTGGTGCTGATCATTTGTTCAATCGTGGCGATTGTGAGTTTTTGGGGGAATTTCTAGAATTTCTGGTCTTTACGATAATTACGATATCTTGCTATTCAGGTGCTTCTACTGCCCGTCCTCATCCAATCGACGGTCGTCTACTACGATATCAAAAACAACATCGCGCTGCCGGAGATGCCGGATGGACCGGATGCGGGTAGGAATTAGCCTTAGAACCATACTACGCTATTATTACTAGAGCTTTTGCATTATCGGGGGCATTAGCCATCAAAACTACAAAAAATGTGCATTTCTGCGTTAAAATTTGCATTTTTAGATAATTTTTAGCACTTTTTGGGCCGTTTGCAGTTTGAAACCTAGTTAAACTTTACTAAAAAACACTTAAAATAATTGCTATAACCTTACTAGGCGTTTCTAGACTTATGCAAAAAATTTCGTCCCCCCTGATAATGCAAAAGCACCAGACAACGAAACCTTTTAGAAAACGTAATCGGGAAATGCGCGTACGAGCCCGACTTTGTGTTCATCATCTACACGTTTCTGTTCGGTTTCGCGGTGCCGGCCGTCTTCATCACTGGGTTCTATGCGGCGGTAGGGACTTCTTTTTCTTGTCCGAGTAATATCGGTTCAAAAACGGTTATCCGAGTAATATCGGTTCCAAAACGGCTATCAACAACAAAAAAAAATGTATAGCAAAAATCCTAAGAAAAATTTATGCCCCCCGATAATGCCCAAGCACCCATTTTTGTAAATTTTAGGTTGTTTTAATTTTGTAATTTTTGTTTCAAGGTGATCCGGTCATTGCAACGACACACCAGCCTCATCCGGAAGTCAAGCCGCGAGAACGGGACGAGCAAACAGAACGAACACTCGGCACATCGAGTCAAGCAGGTAGTCCGTATACGCACCAAATTTTTGTGTGTTATTAGGAGTGTAGCGAAGATAACTTTAGCTCCCCTTCTCCAGGTAACCATGTGAATCATCGCCGTCATTCTGTTCTATTTCTTCTGCTGGACGCCGCAGTGGACGCTCAACCTGTTGCTCGAGTTCAACATCGTCCAGGCGTCGCTAATGACCCCGGGATGACGGCCGTCTTTTTCGGGGCTCATCTCCTTGTATGCTTCAACTCGGCAGCCAATCCGATGCTCTATGCGCTGATTAACCGGTATGGGTTTTTATGGTGTAATCATGTTTGGTTCTTTTGCGTTATTGGGGGCGGGGGAATTCGCCTAAGCCTAAGACTGTGCCTAAGCCTAAGAGTAAGCCTAAGCCAAGCGTAAGCCTGAGCCGGAACAAGCCTCCTAAACCTGACCAAGCCTAAACCTAAGCCAAAACCTGACCAAGCCTAGGTCTAAGCCATGCTTCAGACTAAGCCTAAGAATTTGTTAACACTTCCAAACCAGAGACTCTTTAATCAGAAACACAATAAAACGATTTTTCGACTAAAAATCAGCATTTTCGCGCAAAATTTTTGAAATTTTTGAACTTTTCAGGTAGTTTTTCCACTTGAAACTTATGGTTACATTTTCTTAAAAAACAATATTAAAACGGGCACTATTATCTTTGAACTTCTACAAAAAAGTCGATCACCCCTCCCCCCGATAATGCAAAAGCGCCCAAAAAAGCATAATTTTCAGGGAACTGCGCACGCAGCACTCGTTGGCAATGAACCGGAAGCGACAGTCGGTGGGCAACGCGACGCACAGCGCGCTCGACTTTGTCGCCCGGCACACACAAAAGTAAGCCGAGTTTTTTGGGTTTTCAGGCTGGACCTGAATGTAGCTGACAAGGCATGGCACATCACCCTCTTTGTTCGACTAAGTAGATGGATTACTAACCGAATATATATGTATACTAGATGGGCTTTATGTTGCTATGGCCGAATGGTTAAGGGTTTTGTCCACGGTTCGAGAGTCCCGGGTTCGATCCGATTTCCGGTCATATCTCCTAAATACATATCTCCTAATTCCATATCTCCTAAAGTCATATCTCTAAAAGTCATATCTCCTAAAAGTCATATTCTCCTAAAAAGTCATTTCTCCTAAAAGTCATATCTCCTAAAAGTCATTTCTCCTAAAAGTCATATCTCACTAAAGTCATATCTCCTAAAAGTCATATCTCCTAAAAGTCATTTCTCCTAAAAGTCATTTCTGCTAAAAGTCATTTCTCCTAAAAGTCATTTCTCCTAAAAGTCATTTCTCCTAAAAGTCATTTCTCCTAAAAGTCATTTCTCCTAAAGTCATTTCTCCTAAAAGTCATTTCTCCTAAAAGTCATTTCTCCTAAAAGTCATTTCTCCTAAAAGTCATTTCTCCTAAAAGTCATTTCTCCTAAAAGTCATTTCTCCTAAAGTCATTTCTCCTAAAGTCATTTCTCCTAAAGTCATTTCTCCTAAGTCATTTCTCCTAAAGCCATTTCACCTAAAAGTCATTTCTCCTAAAAGCCATTTCTCCTAAAGTCATTTCTCCTAAAGTCATTTCTCCTAAAGTCATTTCTCCTAAAAGCCATTTCTCCTAAAGTCATTTCTCCTAAAAGCCATTTCTCCTAAAGTCATTTCTCCTAAAAGCCATTTCTCCTAAAGTCATTTCTCCTAAAGTCATTTCTCTAAAGTCATTTCTCTAAAGTCATTTCTCCTAAAGTCATTTCTCCTAAGTCATTTCTCCTAAAAGCTATTTCTCCTAGAGTCATTTCTCCTAAAGCCATTTCTCCTAAAGTCATTTCTCCTAAAAACCTTACTTCAGGAGTTCAGTAGATACAAGCAAAAAATTTTTGTAATTTTTTTCGGAACATCTACAAACCCCGACAGGCTTCGAAAATCCCGAACTAAAAACCTCACTTCCCTTTTTATGTTGAGATCGGATATGATATGTTTTCGCTTTTCACAGGCGCGAAACTTTTGCTTAATTTACAGCTAGCTTGCGTTTGATCCGATGTTTTTCACTATTATCCGACCATCTTAGAATGTTCAAATCGGGTTTTTCGAAGCCTGTGGGCGGTTTTGTAGATGTTCCGAAAAAAATTACAAAAATTTTTTGCTTGTATCTACTGAACTCCTGAAGTAAGGTTTTTAGGAGAAATGACTTTTAGGAGAAATGACTTTTAGGAGAAATGACTTTTAGGAGAAATGACTTTTAGGAGAAATGACTTTTAGGAGATATGACTTTAGGAAGAAATGACTTTAGGAGATATGACTTTAGGAGATATGACTTTAGGAGATATGACTTTTAGGAGATATGACTTTTAGGAGATATGACTTTTAGGAGATATGACTTTTAGGAGATATGACTTTTAGGAGATATGACTTTTAGGAGATATGACTTTGAGAGATATGACTTTAGAAGATATGACTTTAGGAGATATGACTTTTAGGAGATATGACTTTAGGAGATAATGGAATTAGGAGATATGTATTAGGAGATATGGAAATGACCCGTTCGATCCCAGTGAGGATGGATTTCTTGCTTTTTGCTTTTTGCTAGTTTTTGTCGGAAATCTGTCTTATTCTGGCTTATAGAAATAGTATTAGGCTTTTAGGGCCATTCCCCTCATTACGCTAGTTCTCGTTGCTTTGCATTATCGGGGGGCGTATCTGGGGGTGAACCTAATTGTTTTGCTAAATCACCTAAAAATATCTAGTAACCCAATAACAGGATATTTTTATGGTGTTTTCATCACATTTTGCTCTATTCCAAGTGGCAAAACTACCTGAAAAAATTTTTAATTCTGAAAAATTCGAAAATTTTCTCGAAAAATCATAATTTTTTTGGTAGTTTTGATAGGAATTTGTAATTTTTTTGCGTCTATAATTTTTTTTCCGTTGAAAAACAGTTGCTCTATTCAAATCAGAAAACTGCATAAAGAGAATCCGAAAGTTGGGTTTTCCCCTGAACAATCCCCGCCTCCCCCGATAATGCCAAAGTGCCAAAATTCAGGCTTCTTTATTTGCGTTGTTTTTAAAGGAATTTCCAATAAGAAGCCAAATTCTCATGTCACAAAATTGGCTATTTCTAATCTAAGGTTTGGCCGGGTAAGGGTCCCGATACCCTTCCAGCCAACCTCCACAATGGGATAAAGGGGAGCGAAGATACCGTAGGCGGGGGGGCGTAGACCCAAGCAAGAGACGAGGCTTTATTCCACGAGGGAGAGGGCTCGAATAGACAACATGGGTGGTTGACCTATTTCTTCTAATAGACACAGCCGCAAATTGACCACAATAGGCGCTTTAATTCGGATGATGATGATGAGGATGACGGGCAGAGGGTAGATGGGGAGAAGGAGAGAGAGAGAGTCCAGGAGCAGCAGCAGGGATTCATCCACTGACACGCGGGCAGCAGCACATTCCGTCGGCTTGTTCACTGCTTGGCAAACGGGTCGGCCTCGACGATCTTCAGCGTCTGGTGGGTCTGGTCGTTCAGGCTCGACCTCGCCGGGGTTTGGCCTCCGGAATACGTGTAGATTAAAGGGGCCGACAAGGCACTGCTAGGTGGCCTCCCACGCCCAAAAGTCGATCTACTGTATCTCAGCTTTACCCGCCGTCCTGTAGGTGACTGTGCCGTATACCATAATACTCGCCAGACCAAGGCGAACATTTTGGTGTACTTTACACATCTGTAGGACGACAGGGAGTCGAGAATACAAAATCCCTGGCCCGGATGGATGGATCTCTGCAGTCGAGGGGGCTTTTTCGCATTATCGGGGCGCGGGGGAGGGGTATATGCCCAGAGCTTACTAGCAAGGCGTTGTAGGAAGTATTTTCAAAAATTTTTCGTACAAAATAAGTAGATTTTACACATGGACAAACTTGATTTAAAAATGGAAAAATTTTGAAAATATCAGTATTTTGATCGAAAAAATCAAGGATTTTTTATGCAGTAATTCTAGAGGATTTCCTTCTATAAACGCCCATAAAAACTTGTGGAGGCGGTGAGCGGCTTTTCCTCAACCTCACTGGCGGCACATCCGATGGGAAAGGGCAGGACGAGTGGCAGCGACCACACCACGAAATCTCGCTGAAATGTCGGGGGCAGCGTTCGCAGAGACCATTGGGGGAACCCACCAAATTCCCACGGCATTCGGAATATGAAGTATACAAGGTTGGGGGAATTCCATTTTTAGCTAGGTATCGGAAGCTAATCGCGGAAATAGAGAATTAATTTAAATTTTTATTTTGTACAGTCAAGCTGCCCCGGTTCTTTGCCATTATCGGGGCATTCCTATAAGCCAGAAAATGCCTAATAACTATTTTAATCGTGTTTTTAGTAAAACTTAACTATATATTCTAAAAATGCCCCCGCCCCGGATAATGGAAAAGAACCAGATTTTCTAAGGTTTTTAAAGGCATGTTGAAAAACTGGATAGCTTGAAATCAGGAATATTTTGCGTGGGAATTCGATACCCCTCCCCCGACATTGCCATAGCACCGGTTCGCCTTGCCCTTGTCATAAGCTTCTCCCTGGATAATGGAAAAGAACCGTTTTGCTTTTCCCTTACGACTAAATCCGCTCCCCCACACCCCGATGATGCAAAGAACCAGCGCCGTAACGCCAACATCTTGCCGTAAGCTTCTTCCCCCTAATGCAGCAGAACCACTTGCTCCATTGCCCTAAAGTAAATTTTCCGCCAATTTTCGGTACTAACCCAGCCAATGCCCCCTCTATCCCTCTATCCCCCTATATCCCAACCACCGTCCACATCCACTGTTCTCCCTCGAAAAACGCATCCGTGACCTTTCTCGACTACGACAGCAACGACTGGACACCGTCTCGCCTATATCAGCAATCACATCGATCATCTGCGCACATCATTGGGTTTGTCCACCGCGATCCTGTACGTTGCGTACACCGGGGTATTCGGATTTGGCTACTCGTTCCGTTTCATGGCGGCTGTTTTGCAGTGCATAGGCTTTAGTCTTATTTATAAAATGTCGAAATTCATGAGTTCGAAATTTCGATATTTCCAACTCTTTGTGGTATACTTTTGGGCTAATTTCCGAGGAAATCGGTCGTAATGACGACAGAAAAAATCCCGATGACGAAAATGCCCAGCCCAGCCCAGAAGTCTCTAGCCAGGACCCTGACATAACACTGCCCCCTGGATGCCCGCTTAATTACCCACGCTTGTTCTTTGAAACTCTTCGGAATTTTAGTTTGTCGGGATTTTGTCGGCATTTTCACGTCGTCCGACAAATCCACGTTCATGGTAAAGGTCGGGATATTGAAGCATCATCGACATTACCAGATTTCGATATTACGCATTTCGACATAACAAAATTTCAGATAGAAATAAAAACATATTTTTATTTCCAAAAATAACTACTTGCCGCCCAGAACGGAATCAGTAACCCGACGGAAATTAATCTCACTAAAAACGGATGCGTTACCCCGAAGGGATCGGACGGGGCTATGTATTTTTCTGGCCATGGATTCTCCATAGAACTTTGTAAACGCGCGACATACAACGCGCCGCTGACCCTAATGTAAGCGTATCCGTAATCCAGTGCGCAATGAAGAAGCTGAAAGCGCGTTGCGTGTCGCGGGAGGACGAGATCGAAAAGGGGGAATCCAGAGCCTTTAAAATTCGCGAAAACTTAAAGCCGAACCTTGTCAGTCCCATGCAAAAACGAATCCGCCCAGTCAAACCACTATATCCGCGATCGCCTGCACCGTCCATTGTTCATCCCCATTTTTCTTCTATATTATTTTCAATTCCTAAAATATGCCCCAATTTTTAGCATCGCCGGCTT